AATAGGTACGGTCACCATCAACCGACCGTCACCTTCCCCCCCCCCCTCCCCCTATTATGACTAGCTGCTCTGCCTGTAGAATCCGCAAGGGTATGACGAAAACAGATCCCTGCGTCGCGCTAATCGTGGACTGTGCCTTTAACTGCAGTACTAGGGAACATTTACTAATAAATGAGTGAAGTACCTGCCATTCTGGTGCCGGATCAACGGTTATTAGGTCCAGTAATAGAGAGGAAACATCCTGTGCTGTAGATAAGGTTGTTAACGGTCGATAGGTACCTCAGAGACGTGGGCATGCATCGACCAACCGGAAGGTCACCGTGATTGTTGAGGATGATCTGCAGTGAGGACAGGCTTCAGTATCGGAATAGGACAAATGTAGTGTCCCACTCCCGAAATATCCTCCTCCAAGTTCGACCTCGCCCATGCTACCTCTCATATCTCCATCTCACTAAGTTTGCAAACTTTCTAACGCATCTCTCATTTTTTTTCGAAAAGTTCCCGGTTTTCTTCACAAAACTGCCATCGTGAGGAGAAGGAATTCGTGATCAAACAACTACTAATTTCAGCTATCGGAAATAGTAGTTGTATAGGAATTTAATGGCGCTGCTAAGTACGTGAGGGGGGGGGGTAAATCATACCCATGAAAAATGGAACAGCAATGGACGGAAGATTCCCGGTTGGTAACAGGTACGACCCCGTCTGTCAACCGAGTGCAACCCTCCCTCCCTCCCCAACGACTAAGTTGCTGTGCCTAGAGTGGAGCACAAGCTAATGTTCCCCATCGCTAAAGCTCACTACTTCTCTCTTTCCTTTTGTATCTGTATCTCTCGATCGTCAGTAACTGATAGATTCGTTCTCGCTTGATTTCTTTTCCCGAACTGCCGCTTTCTCTACTTCCTCTACTTGACATGGAGAATTACCTCCAATTTTTCGAATGGAGAACGGTGATTTTTCATTAGCTGAAACCCAACATTTTGAGATCATTCAGCTGACCTCAAATTGTTCGGTTTTGACTAATTGTTCTTTTCGTGGGAATTCCGAGCTTTAATACCGGCACCCCCATCTCAACCCTTGGAAAAAGGGAAGTAAATCAGCCAATGCTCTTCTATTCGATCAAGCACGAGCAATGAAGCGCGGGAGGGAAGAAGGCAATTTATTTGCGAGAGGTGAAAATCGCATTAATGGTATGTGAAGAGTAAACAGGTCACGCCGTGAAACCCCGTAGGATCAATTTTTGCCCAGGTCGATCGAGCCTTTCTTCCAAACAGATGGGGGCCCCACAGTCCGTACTGTCCGAGAGGAGGAAGTGCACTACTGGGGAGGGCATCTAGAGCTCTTTGTGAAGAGTAGCGCTGACACCATGTGGCGCCAGCAGCTCCAATTTGGCGTCATCACTGCTCTCAACAAAATCGACAGGGATAGCCGACAGATTAAGAGCGTGGCTCACGCTCACATCTAGAAATTCCACGAGGTTCGATCCCTACCGAGGAAAAGACCATGCCGTGCAAAAATTGCAAATGGTGCTGATACCAGGGTCAGGCCCGGGTAGAGGCCGGCTCATGGAGAACCCCGTCACAACCACGACTGAAAGTCACAAAAGAATTAATGTAATGCTAAGAAGAGACCCGGAAGGGGCGCGCAGAACCCTCGCCCGAGTTCTGTGGTCAGTATGCGAGGGCTACGAGGGGTGAACGACTCGGCCAAAGAAGCTAGTTCGAATTGGGACCCTGAACGTGGGTCGCTTACCGGGAAGTCTCGAAAGGTTGCCGACTCCATGGGACGAAGAAATATCCAGTCCTACGCATTCAGAAAACACTCTGGGAAGAGCCAAGGCCCACGACATTGGAGGATAGTCCAATTTTCCCAATGGAGAAGACACCAAGCGGAACGGCGTTGCCATAGCGGTGGCAGAATCCCTCAAGGACTGCGTCTCCTCTGTGAACAGGATCAGTGATCGGATCATGGGAGTGAGAATGGACACGAAGGAGGGGTACTGGACAATAGTGACCGTGTGCGCACCGCAAGCTGGTCGCCCCTAGCACGACAAGTATGACTTCTACATGACCCTGGACGAGACCATCAGATCGGTTCCAGAGGGTGACTATCTCACCATAGCAGGTGATCTGAACGGTCACGTCGGAATGACAGGAAGGGGATAGGGAGGGTGCGCGGAGGCAAGGGATAGGAGCGAGGAGCTCGCATCGAGGAAGAAAGTATCTTAGATCTGGCAATAGCCCACGATCTAGCGGTCTTCAGCACGTTCTTCGCAAGAAAGGCAAACCCAGAAGATAACCTACAGTAGTGGAGGAAGACAAACGAAAATTGACCATGCTCGTAAGAAGATCATCCCTCGAAACTGTAGAGGACGTCAAGGTGCTGCCTGGTGAAGACACAGACCCCTTCTAGCAGACATTGCCTCAGATCTCCCCGCTAAGACGAGGGTAAAAACTGAGAAGAGGATACGGAAGTGGAAGTCACGCCAAATGAAGAAGGATGCGCTCAGAAGGGGAGCATTGGAGACTTTCTTTCCTAGATCCTCAGGGAATTATCTAGGACACCTGGACGAGAGCAGCAGATGTCATTCTGGTGTGCTAAAAAAGTACTGGGGGAGACACGAGGGGAACCTGAAGAGACAACGCAGCGTGGTTCTAAGGAAGAAGTCCCGCAGGTGGTTAAGCGGAAGGAGGCGTACAAGCAATGGCAGAAGACAAGGACTTAAGAAGATCTCGCTGCCTACAAGAGATGTACACGACCCGCTAAGGCAGCTGTAGCTAAAGCGAAGAACAAATGGACGCCATGTACGACAGATTGGACAGCCCAGAAGCAGACGAGTTCGTCTTTCGGCTGGCTAAAGCCCGCCATCGGGCTACCCTAGACATCAGGGTAGTGAAGAGGTAAGACTGTGACGGTGCCATTCTGAGGAAGCCTCGAAGTCAAGAGTAGGTGGGAGGGGTACTTCAGACAACTTCTGAACGAGGCGTTTCCTCGCAAACAGCCCAATAGAGCCGACTTCCCATCACAGTCTGGACAGAGAATGAGGTCTGCAGGGAGTTAGGGAGAATGAAGGTTGGGAAAGCGACTGGTTCAAATGGGATCCAGATTAAAGCCTGAAAGGCCCTTGAATAGCATGTAAGTTGGCTCTTGCGCTTCTTAAGCAACATAACAGGGGAGAGTGCCGGATGCTTGGAGGTGCAGTGCAATCGTCCCCATCTTAAGCAGAAGGGGAACGCGACGAACTGCTTCAACTACCGCGGCATCAGACTGACGGCACATACCATGAAGCTGTACGAGAGGTTAGTGATTACAAGGAGGGCCCTCGTTCCGATTAAGCAGAGCAGTTGGGCTCCATACCCGAAAGACCCACTACGGATGCCATCGTCATCGCCAGACAAGTAGTGGAGAAGTATCGAGAGAAGCGGCTACCTTGCCACCTAGCCTTCGGATCTCAAAAGGCCTTCAACCGCTTACGCGACCTGTACTTTGGTGCTATCACGGAACGGATTGTTCCTGAGCACCTTATCTCCCTGGCGAAGCATGTACTATAAGGCAAAGGCGGCTGTACGCCCCCGTACGACCTTACAAAGGGCGTAGACATAAGGGTTGGATTACAACATGGGTCAGCTATTATTGTTAGCCCTTTCCTCTTCCTTCTAATCTTGGGTGTCATGGGAAGGGAACTCATGGAGGGGCCACTCAAGACCATCCTCAATGCCGATGACATTGCCCTGACAGCCGAGAGCAGAGAATGAACTTCAAAGGAAGGTGCAAAAATGGCAGGAGGTACTGGCGGAGAATGGCCTGCGGTTGAAGTCAAGAATGCTATGTTCCTGAACTCCGACTGCAACAGGCCCATCCAGGACAGCCATGGAAAATCCATCAAGAGGGTGGATAATTCTGCTATATGTTAAGCGATCTCGCCCATGATGGTGGCGTGGACCAGACAGTAAAGGCTCGAATAAATGCGGCTTGGATGAAGTGAAGGGAGTCTACCGGTGTTCCCTGCGATCGGCGATGCTCCAGAACCCTAAAAGGGAAAGTGTACCGAGCAGTGGCGGGGGCGAAAGGTATACCGAGAATGCTCTACGGCAGCAGTGGTGGCCCATATGCAAGAACCATGAAAGGCAGCTCACTCAGCTGAAATGAGGATGCTGAGATGGGCCTGCGGCTGGACACGACTCGACAGAGTCAGAAACGAGGACGTCAGGGCGGTCACACAGGCGGTCCGATCCAGCTGAAGGCGCGGGAGCAGCGATTAATGTGGTATGGTTTGTTTACTATTGGTCGGCCATTTTCTCATCCGGATGCTAGTCTCGGGTGCAGGGACCTGAATTTCATGTACCTCTGTTTTCCTCACGGTCGCCTTCACTGATTTGAAAACAGTCCTTCACACTAAATCTACATCCACAAGGTTTCGGTACACAGGTCAAGGAAAATCGAGTAATAATTTGATAGAAAATTCCAGTTTCCTGGTCTGTTCTGAGTTTTTTCCGCAGCTGTAAATACGAAGGTTATTTGACATCCTGACCACGGGTATGATATTCATTCTTGGCGGCGGCGCCGATGTTGGGCGCTCTGATCACCTTTGCTGAGGCTGAGCCCAGCTGCACGGGAATCACTCCTACTCCCAGCCTCAGATTTAGCAGAGCTTCAAGTTGCGCTGGTGTAGAAAAATGGATGTCATTCTCAATATCAGGGTATCAATCAACTCTGGTATACAAGCTGTCATCGATTTTGGTGGAAAAGGTGGTCGCACCAGTCGGCGTCTTTGGCGCGAAATGGCGTCAGTGAAAAAACGGATGTAATATTTGGGACGAGGATGTAAAAAAAACCTTGTGAACAGTTTTCAACGATTTCGGTGAGAGGAGTGATGAGGCCAAATTGGCGTCTATTGGCGCCAAATGGCGAAACAGCCAACAATTATTGTCATATGATCAGGGCACTTTCAAGGACCATTTATCGATGAAGATCCATCAGGCCAATATGAGGCAGACAATATTCTACATGAACTTGTCCTTTAGCAGTAACCCGTGCCTGAAGCATCCAAACATGATCGGAATACTCACTACTTCTACGACGACTTACATGCACAAAAGCGGTACAGCGGCTGACCACACGCTTGCAAGTGTTTGTTGATGAAGCTGAAAGCACCGACGGTCCTGACCTATGGCATCTATAGTAAATACGTGTTACGTCCCCATCAACTTTCCTGCTGCGAGTGACAAATGATGTCACTGCTGCCTCTTGCGCTGACTTCATCCATTCCTAAACCCATGAGATCAGACAAAGTGGTCGTAATATCATGTCATGCTTGCCTCACCTCAAAGTCGCCTTCGGTTTCAAAAGATATATGACCCACATTGTACCCTTCATCCGTGCAGTGCATCATAGAGCAATGCGCCACCAATTCTTTCAAGTCGTGCACCGTTACATCGCACTTCGGGCACTTCACCCTCTCACTTTCTGCAATTTCATCGATTCCGTATGAAGATATGACAATACTGTTGATCCCTCGCTCACCTATGCCACAAGGGGGCAGTTTCAAATAGGTTCTCGTATGCTTTGATAACGAATTCTTTAAGGAGAACTCCTTTTCGCAATTGTCGCACGGAAAGATGGCATTGTTTTTTTCCACATCACCCCCATCTCTCCTTCCTCATCTCTCCTCTCGACCACTTTAAGCACTCCAATTTTTCCTTCATGTACTGATGATAATGGAATAAGTGATCGTACAGGCGCTTCACTACCTCCCCACAGAGGAAACATTCAGAAAGAGCTGGCATGATTATCTGAAGATATTACGTAACGATATCGAAAAGAGCGATCTGACCAACATTATAACATAGAAGGATCTTCTCACGATTATAACATCTGGAGCAGAATATATGTTAAAATGACAGCCATCAGAAAGGTTAAAGCTGAATAAGTAAAAAAAAACCTACCTCTCCAGATATTCGAGTAGCTGAAATATCGTTGCTACTACCAAGGAACAGTTCCTAGTTCTTTGAACCTAAAAATCTAACTTTGTCGATCACCTTATTCAAAACAGCTTCCACAATTAAAACAGGTACTCAAGAGTTTGTGTCCCAGTTCTTGGAAATCCATAGTCTCACTATCTCAAGTACGGTGTATCCTTTTATCAAACGGTGTATTCTCAAGAAATATATTACGGAGGAACCCCTTTATGACCGATGACGCTGCAAGTGAATTCGAGTACAACCAAGTGTTCATGTAAGCAGAAATGAGCATTGGTTTTTATGCATTATGTCTGCACACTTACGTGAGATAACCTTCACGGTTACAGCTTTTGCAGCGAAGTATATGTGAATATGACAACTATTCCAGAAATATTTAAAGCGAACCAAATAGAAAACCTACTTTTCGGGCAATCCGAGTAACTGAAATAGTGTTGCTATCAGCAATAAACAGTTCCTAGTTATTTGAACCTGAAAACCTGACTCAATAAATGACACGTTCTCACACAACCACTTGAAGTAATGCGTTTCAAAACAAATGAAAGACCATACAGAATACTATAATAAAAAGAAGCACTATCACTCGAAGAAAGCGACATGCTAGAAGTAATATTTTGAATTATCGATCTGCTGACGGTGGCGTCAGATTCTGGGCGGGGCGAAGTGACCTCTTCGCTGAGTCCCGCCCAGTAGGGCCATCCAGGTTTCTACGGCGTCCCAGAGCGGTCGACTATTCATCTAAGTGTCATCAAGCATGGAGGAAGATATTCCTAGCTATTCACATCCTACAGAAGCTATCTACGAAGAATGTGTGGAGACGACGGAAAATGCTGGCTCGGCCATTCGACTAGATCCGAGGGACATCCGGTCAATCATAGATGCGATAAGGACAGAAACACTTCAACCAGCGACCCCACCCGCTAAACCTGTCTTCAAGAGAGAAGGGTATGCTAAACAGTTCGAATTTAACTCGTCTATTCTACGTAAGCTGATTCCGCTACAATCGTCGACGAGTCATGAAATAGCTACAACTATAACTCAAGTGATCCAGGATTTGAACACTAGAAATGAAACGCTGGTAATCGCAGACGAGCACCCTGAAGTCTTCCAATTTTTGGATCATAAGTCAAAGGCCGACTCCCTGAAGGCCACGGACCCTCGCCTGAGCGAGTTCATGGAATCCATCAGAAAGAAAGAAGAGGATGTAAAAAAGAGGAGTCCAGCCCTTTCGGAAGCGGGAGGCAGCCTGGCACCCTGCCTCCCAGTACGCTCGCATCGTGCGCCAGAGTCCTTCGTTCACTTCCTCTTCTGTCGTCGTTCCCTTTCTCGTCATGGAGTGGGAACTGAAGGGTCTCGGAAGTACAAGAGGGACCAGTCTCCGCCGCGCAAGTATGCGATGCGTCCGTATGCCAGAGAGAGGGACCGGACCAAGAGCGAGTGCAAATCTTGCGGCAGAGAGGGGCACTGGTGGAGGGAGTGCCCCCAAAGGAAATGGTGAGTTTTTCGCTGGATCCATCCACTTCCAATCTCTATGGGAGGCTCTCGAGCCGTCTGTTTTGGTCTCGACCACTATTAGATATGGTTACTCTATACCATTTATGTCCTCGCCTACGAGGCCGAAATATGACGGGAATCGTAAGAGTGCTCTCGAGCATGCAGATTTCGTAACTAGCGAAATTTCAGATCTTCTGCAATTCTGGTGTGGTTAGAGAAGTACCTGAGCCTTCGATCAACAATTTGCACGTACACCCCCTTTCAGTAGCTAAAGGTAAGAAGTTGCGATTGGTACACGATCTCTCTCATCTGAGTAAGTCATTGATGTGCCGAAATTCAAGTTGGATGACATGAGTACAGTTCTGCATGTCCTACCAGACAAGGGGTTCATGTCAACATTTGATCTCAGGTCGGGTTACCACCACGTAAGGATCTCTCGAGATCACATTGATTACCTCGGTTTCAAATGGGAGGGGAAATTATACCAATTTCTCTGTTTGCCATTCGGGCTCGCCTCAGCTCCTCATATTTTTACTAAGATACTTCGCCCCTTCATCAAGAAGTGGAGACAGGGAGGGCTGGGGGTAGCAGTATATATAGACGACGGGATAATTTTCCACCCTTCGAAAGAGGGATGCCTTCAAGCCGCGTCGGTCATCAGGAATGACCTGCTAGAAGCCGGTTGGCACTTCGCGGAAGAGAAATGTAACTGGGTGCCGTCCCAGGTAGCAATTGGTTAGGTTTCAACATTAATCTCGTTGACATGGTTCTCAGCATATCAGAGGATAGAATCTTAAAAGCCAGGCGTAGGCTTTTATCATTGTTAAATCCGCGCGCCCGTCCTTGTACGATAGGCTGAGCTGGTCAGGAACGTTGTCTTCCATGCACTTAGTCATGAGCATTCAGACATTCGTTATACTCGAGGAGTAGCCCGGGAAATCACCTCTGCTCAGAATCTTGAGTGGCCTCTGAGGCAGCCACCACCATTTATAACAAAGGGAGCCTGTCTCTGTCCCTTCACCGTCTAGCGCAGCAGACGTGGCAGATTCAGGAAAACTATAAGATTCAAGTATCTGTGAGGTGGATCCCCAGGGAACTCAACACCCTAGCGGATTCGGCGAGTAGGGATATAGATTTTGATGACTGGAGAATTTCCAGCGCTGTTTTCTCTGCGGTGGTCAGAAAATGGGGCATCCCTAATGTTGACATGTTTGCTAACGATCGCAGCACCAAATGCAAGATTTTCTTTTCTAGCAACCCATGTCCAGGAACTGCCGGAGTCAATTGCTTTGACCACTGCGATGCATGGAAGCATTCCTTTGGTAAGCTCCGCCAGTGTCTCTTATTTCTAAAACGCTCAAATGGGCGGCACATCACAGATCGGTGGGAATTCTAGGTTGTCCTCTGTGGAGTTCACAGCCCTTCCCTATCATTAAAAAGGACAGTGGGGCATGGGCTGAGTTTGTGATAGATGCAATCCTTTTTCCCACAGGTACCAAGTTGTTTCAGAAAGAGGTGTCAGCTAGGGGCCTTCGGTTCGCCTTTCTCAAAATCACCATTCGTTTTCCTTCTCATTTGTCATTTCGCTATTACAAGCATGTCAACTTCAGCACTTATCCATAACCTCTCATTCGTTTCAGAGGGGGGGGGCCGCTTCCCTAGCACTCGACCTGGGCTTTCGACCAAATTCGGGTCATGCAGGCGGGTAGGTGGAAATCCACCAAAGCTTTCTCCAGCTATATATCCCCCAAGCCAGTTTTCCTCCCAACACACACTACTAGCAGCTCACAATTCCCTGCTTCGTAGTTACTCAACTTTTTTTGCTAGGCATCGGTCGTTGTATACGCTTAACTTTATCTACAGGTCTCTTTTCTTGTTATGTACTGCTGTTATTATGGAACGGCGATCTGAGAAGTGGACTACGATCGGGTATCTCACATCGTCGCATCAGCCGCACAGTTTCACACTTCAATCCTACCCTATTTTGCTGTTGTCTCGCTAATGCTTAAGATCAATTCGCGTTGTAAATGTAATAGCTTATTACGGTGATTGGCTAATTAAGTAATGCCACTTGTTCACAATATTATATTGAGCATGTGCCTTCTCAGTTTTCGACGTTATTACGTGTATGATCATGATAGAGTCAATACTATAATGCTTTCTCGTCAATTACTACGTGTTGTTAATTACGGTCATTAACTCAGATTAAGCACGCATACCGATATTGTTAAGAACAAAAAGTTCACGATGTAAATATATGTACATATATATACAAAACAGGCACATGCAATATTTGGACGCCAACGAATAAACCTGTTACCCACAACCTCGGTGTTATGATAATTCAAAATGGTATTTATACCAGAGTATAATGGAGGTATACCTTTTTTTTCCTAATAATCCTAATCTAATACCTTTTTTAAAGCTGCGTTATCCGCGGTGCCGTTCTCAGCTGCGTTATCCGCGGTGCCGAAGTCGTTCTGCACCAGTTGTTGAAGCGGGCAAGTGACATTACTGTATTATATCCTTCGTATTACTCGTTTTCTACCACTTTTTGTCGCATACGCGTTTCAACAAAAAGGCTGAGAACGGCTTCAACAGTGTGCGCACTCCTACTGGCTGACACGCCCCACCGGTCCGCAATGATGAGGACTGTACTTGCTTCTGCGAGCTAAGCTAATCGCGGACATTCGAATGCAGGTGAGAGACCTTCGTGACGGCCGGCTTACGAACACCCATGTCGCATCACTCATGTCTAAGAGGCCGCTGTATTCCGAAGTAATGCTTCGGAAGCCCGTGCGAGCCGACGCGCACTCCCAAGGCGTGGAAAATATCCGAGGGTCTCCGATGCAAAGGCGGCATGGGGGGTGGGGGGAGGCAGCTAAGCTAGTCTAAAACTCCCGCAGCGCAGAGTGGGTCCATATTGCAACGTTAAACGTTGGAATTTTTTCGACCTCATATAAATTGCAGAGGGCACTGGAGCTCAGACGAATTGATCACTATGCAGTGCAGGAAACAAGATGGTGCAGTTGCAAGTCGTCGCAAGTCAAGAGTCATTGATCAAGGCCTCAAAGCCATTCTTTGTGGCAAGCCATAGATAACCAACGTTTGGCCATAATCTTCTCTTGAAGTTCCCGCGACTCGATATCGCGTGGAACGTTTTGATGACCGTTTGATGGAGATTGTTTCCGCTGTCGTTTCTTGATTTTGAACAGACAGCTTAAACAGCGTCAGCAGACATATCATTGTTGTTGGCGACCTAGGTCAAAGGACGGCTACAGTTGTCACGGTGGTTTCGTTTATAGGACCGTAACAACCGCGACGTAACGTTGATAGCGAGCACATCGTGGAATATGCAAAATATCATAATCTCGCTACCTTGAACACAAAATTCCGTGAACGTGACTTTCACCTAGTCACATTCCAGAGCGGGAGGGCCAGAACACAAATTCACTTCCTTTTTGTCAGGCATCGCGATCAAATGCTTGTCAAAGACGCGAAGGCCGTGACGTATGAGAAAGTCGCCGACCAACGTTGCCTGATGATCTCAATGAAGATAACACCCTCTAGACTGAAAGTAGCCTAGCGTTTCCGTCCCGAGTCATTAAAAAGTGGCATTCAGAAGAATATGAGGCAGTCGCAATCTCTCGTATTTCTTTACTAACCGTCACAACTGTAGCGGAAACCTGGAAGATAATGCCCAGGTCGTTCGCTCCCACCATAACCAGGTTGGCACAACAAAACCTGGAAGGCGTAGAATCAACAAGCAGGCATAGCTATAGACAGACGACGTCAGGCCAAAGGTTCACGATAAGAAGAGGCGGGCGGAAATGCCAGCAAGCAAAGGGTGCGGCAAAGAAGGCGGTGGCTTTTGTGACAGCCACCTACTGCGAAGACAGCAAGAAGCTGGAAGCACGTGATGGTAAACGGCACATTTACCAAATTGCCAAGAGCTCGTCACCGCCAGACCGTGGATCTAGAGAAGTTCTTGGGCATCATCGACGAAACCGAAAGAAGGCGCTGAGGGAATAGCTATAGAATATACACCAGGCCATACCTCCTGCCTCAATATAGGACCCCGTTTGGAAAATGACGTGAAGGGTACAGGAACTGCTCTCAAGAAGACGGAACCAAGTAACAGGCCCTTATGACGAGGTCGAAAATGGAAGTCACGTGCTGGTACTCTGCTGAACGGTTGACGTAGTCCTTCAACCAGGTCGTTGCAGAGAAGAAGATCCTCGAAGTGTGGCGGGAGAGTATGAAAATTTGAAGAAGAAAGCAACCGTGCACTCTGCTCGAGCCATCGTCTTACTCGCCTGCTCTCACACAGTATGGAAATTTTTGAGCGAATCGTTAATGGCCGTTTCGCGATATCTCTTAGCTCTCTACCAAGCAGTGTGGCTTCGTGACTGGCTGTAGCACCATCGATGCCATACATGCCGCTCGCCTCTTGCTGGAGAAACATCGTGAGAAGAGGGAGCATGTCCACGTCTTCTTGATTCGAAGAACTCAGTCGATCGTGTCCCATGTCAAGTCATGTGCTGTAGCCTCACGATAGCACGACGTTCTCGAGAGCTGACTGAGTTTGTGCGCGGATGCTCGTCTGCGAGAATAAGTACGATTCTTGAGGAACAAGTGCAAGCTCGACTGAGCGGTTGGCGAACTTCGGACTCAGATCAAGAAAACCGAGTACCTGACGACTGATATAAACGAGAACGGTTTTCTTGGGGTCAGTGGCAGTGTGCTGATACGTAGGGCAATGTTCACATATCTCGAATCAACAATTACATCCGACGGCAGTATTGACTCGGAAGTGAGGGCGCGTGAGTGCAGCTTGGTCTGAGTTACGCCCTATGACTGGCATTCTTTGCGACAAGACAATACTGAAGCGCCTAAACTCGAAGATCTATAGGTCCGCCGCAATATACGATGATGAATGCTGGCCTACGGCCAAAGAAGTTGAAGCCCGCCTCGGAGTGATGGAGATGAAAATGTTGCAATGGA